TGCGAGCGGCGCGGCGGGACAGGTGTAGCCCGCAGTGGCCAGCCGCGCGTGTAGGAGGGTTGAGCCCGCTCGGCTGCCTGGAGTTGACTCGCTGCTCCAGGAACTCCGCAGGCAGCGTCGGCGGGTGTCACTTTGCAACACAGAGGCCATCACCTCGGGCTGTTTGAGAGTCCGCTGGGGACGGAACCCTGCCCGCCCGGGCAGGGTGCAAATGCTCGCTACCCTTGGCGGGTCAGGCTCTGGCTCCTGGACTTAGGCGGCTCACTGGGCCCGCGCCGGCGCCTCCCCCATGCTGCTTGGAGCGTCCTGGCTGTTGGCGTCCAAGGCGGCGGCCACTACAGCTCGGAGTGAGGGCGACGACAGGCAGGGTGAGCAGCAGCAGGAGGCCCAAGCGAGGACTGACGAGGATATGGACGAGTCATCGCTGCTGGACTTGCTGGAATGCTCCGTGTGCCTGGAGCGCCTGGATACCACGGCCAAGGTGTTACCATGCCAGCACACCTTCTGCCGTCGCTGTCTGGAGAGCATCGTGTGCTCGCGCCATGAGCTACGCTGTCCCGAGTGCCGCATCCTAGTGGGCTGTGGTGTGGACGAGCTGCCCGCCAACATCCTGCTGGTGCGCCTGCTGGATGGCATTCGCCAGAGGCCCCGCACGGGCACCAGCCCGGGGAGTAGCCCTCCTGCGCGTCCGGGCCCCGGTACGTTCCCGGCGCTTGCCGGTGTTCCAGGAGGTGCGACCAGCAGTCCCCCGCGTTCCCCGGTCTTTCTTCCAGCTGCGGCAGGTAGCTCTACCTCCAGTTTGTGCGACGTGGCGTCTAACAGGAGCATGCCAGTGGCCAAGGTAAGTATCTACCTCAATGACATGGCGTCACTGTGTGGGAAAGTGTATGCTTGTGAGCACGTGGATGTACGAGTAGTCATGGTCAGAGGCTCTTCCGTGGCCTACTGGTTTGTTTTATTCTTTAACAACTTCTCTGTACTCCAGGGATTCTACGGAGCTTTCAGTTCTCACTTAACCAACTCTTGGCTACATCTCATCATAGCACCTCCTAACCTTTATTCCAAACTTCATGTGGGCATCTAAGTTGCTTTCCAAGTGCTTAGAGCACTATGCTTACACCTGCCCCCATGACCAGTTCATATGAACCATATGAACCATCCTCTCACTCTCACTAGGTGGATATGCCTTCTGACCTGCCACACTCCACCACTTCCATTCCATTTTGACTAGGCTTGGTCGGTCTGTCTATCTATGTATCTATGTATCTATGTATCTATGTATCTATGTATCTATCTATCTATCTATCTATCTATCTATCTATCTATCCATCATCTATACTGACTCTGTGCATATCTGTCTGTCTATTTATCCATCTATTCCGACTTATGTATTTGTATATCTCACACTTTTTGTTACCCTTCCAAATCCCCAGAAACAACCACTTTCCCCTATACCTCCGGAGTCTTCCTCCTCGCCCTCAGCTCACCAGTTGGGAACTTACTGCCTAATGGTCCCCTGGTTCTGATCGCTGATAGGGAGCTGAGGGCCTCGTACCTACTTAACTGTCTGCTTAAGAGGGGGCAGGGCAGAGGGCAGAGTGGGCAGACGCTGCCTCGAGAATGACTACAGCTGTCTCCAAAAGGAAGAAAGGAGTTTGCCTAGAGTCACCAGGAGTGTTTGGTCCTAACCTCAGGGCTTGCGGCATTCTCTTGCCAAGCCTGGGTCTTCTTATGGTCTCTTAGGCAGAGTTGTTTCCCCACATGGACCGTTGTTTGAAATGTTCATTATTAGATTTTGTGCACCTGCATTGCATAGACTTTACTACTCTGTTTTAGTTGGAAGACTTTTTTCTGGATGACTAAATTTGAGTTTTCTTTGGACCGGGAGAAAGGTAGTCAGGAAATAGTCCTTCCTTCTTAGGATCGTCGCTGAGGGACCAAAATTTAAACTCGACTTTAGTTGTGGTTGAATCCAGCTATACACTCCATTAGAGGCTCAGAAGCTCTTGTCGTTCTTGTCGGTGTTGTTTGTAATCTAATATTATAATTAAAGGTTTTTATTTGCAACATTAGTTGGTTGCTTCCTCCTGCTTCAGTAATCATGTGAGCTTAGGAACTATGACTCCTGTGAGATGCTCAGGCATTTGATGACTGCCAACAGACCTCGGTCCAGTTCATCTTGAGGAGTGAGGTTGGTCTGATGCCTACCCGGAAGCCTCTGATAGAGAAAAGGCACAGCTTCAGACAACTCCTGGGACCTTACTGCTCTTCAGTGCGTTCTTTAGGACTTGCCCACAAGGCGGAAGCTTGTAGCTTTCGCAATAGTGTTTGAGTATAAGGAATTCGTGTTTGGGTCTTTTCTATTTGAGGTGTTGGAGGTTGATGTTCTGGGTGGCCACGTACACCGCGGTTTGGGATGTCTGTACTTCTGGGAATTTGAGAACGTATCTTCTTTGTGTGTGTCACCTTGGATGCAGGCTTTCTTCCAGTCGTCTCAAAAGGACCAAGTTCAGGTTTGGGGGAAAAGTTAGAATGAAGTCTAGTGTTATTTGGTTATGTTCAGAGAGGACAGTAGCATAGGCAGAGATTGTAGTATTTGGAGCTTTTGTTCATTGATTTTTGTAGTCACTGGGTTTCTTCTTGGTCAGCTGGAAGCCGCGCATGCTGCCGTCACACTATCACTGTGCGGAAACAGCAGTAGGTCTCGATGAGCAGTCTGGGAGAACAGTGATGGATCTGAAAAGAGAAAGGGACCGAAACTGCATGATATGTAGGTGTCAGCCACCTATGAACATAGTAGGCAGAGACCAGCTAAAAACTGCCTCCAAACAGGCTCTTGGTATTCCACTGTCCCTAAAATTTACATTGATGCTTTCTAGTGAGGCTGAATTCCGGATGTTGCTACCTATTGTTGAATAAATGGATATTTATTCCACCATTTAACAAATGCCAAATATGACCTAATAGTAACCGTCAAAGTTACATTTCCCTTTTCTCGATTAGAAGTCCCTCGGATCTTTGGGGCTAATGGAGATATGTGAACCTTTAAGGTGTATACATTTTGGACAGGAGATATGTGAACCTTTAAGGTGTATACATTTTGGGCTCAGCCTGTCTACATTCTTAACGCAGTTAGAGCCGAATTTGGGGACTGCGTCAGGTATAAAACACATTGAAGTTCTGATTGTTTTCGAGCACAGGTCACGAAATCCTTTGCGTGGAGTCTCGGTTGTCTTCAGCATATTAGGGAGTCAGTCCTGCCTGACAGATTTGAGATGACTCTTTTAAAAGAAAAATCAGTTAACTGATGCTGCCCCTAGAAATGTTATACCAAGTTAGAAGTGCCCATCGCCTAGTTTGGGATTATTGGTTTCTTTATCTGCTGCTAAATACTGTTTCCGTGTGGCTTCTTAAAGTGCCGTTGAAGAGTCTAGCTGGAAAGATACTGTAAAAACTATTGAAAGTTTTATAATGTGTGCTAACTTTCTCAACCTAACTTGTTTATTGTCTTGAAAGTTTTGCGAGGGAACGCCTTTGATGTCCCAAACTTTCACCAACTGCGTTGTGTGAGGACAGTCTGAGAGTTCTAGGAGGACTGGGGATGTAGCTCAGTGGCATAGTACATGTCTATTATGCCAGAGACCCTGGTTCCCATCCCTAGCAATCCAACAAACAGAAACAGGAAGGCAGTCAGGTAAATAGGGATTCTGCCAGAAGGGTATTATGGTTTCAGATCGAATCATTTAGAGATCGAGTTTTTAATATGAAGGATTTAGTAAAGACTTAAGTATATGATAATTTCTACTTTAACAAGTGCTTTTATTTTTTGAATATTCTTTGCTTTTGTTTGGACATATATAAAACCTATCAACTAGTTCTATCGTGCCTATCTATATAACCTGTCTTGGTCTCTCTCCATGAACCTGACCAAACAGAGTGGGAAAAGAGAGGTGTTCTTGGCTCTTTAGGAGGCCATTGCAGTCACTGGGTGGTGGTTGTACAGAACTCTGTGAGGTTTGAGAGTAAAGATGCTTTCACAGACTAAAGCATTGTAGAAAGTTTAACAGTACCTTTGATGACATACAAGTGGGCCCAAGGGCTAATAACATAGTTTGTTTGTATTGTGTCTTCCCTTCTGCTCCTCCTCTGTGCTGGGGCTGGAGCATATGTGTGGATAGTGTGCCTTGAGTTTCCCCGTGGTCCTGAATTTTTCTGGCTTGTTGTTTCTTCAGCAGTGAGACAGGGTCTCCTGACATCCAGATTGTCCTTGAATTGCTCCTGCGTCTAAGCATTACTGGGAACTCCCTCTCCGCGGGCCTTCACCTCCTGGGTGTGCTTAATTCTGAGAGAAACCAGATAGCCCGCACGGTAGCAGGCAGCTAACATGAGAGCGTTGACCAGGGTAGAGGGTGTCTGAGGTGTCTGAAATAAAATTCACCTGATCCCTAGTCATCAAAGTTGAAGAGGTTGTATCTTTCCTTTTTAATGCTGCTGAGGGCTGGACACAGTAATACTACCGACTGGATGGAGAAGTGAACCTTTTGTGACCAATGGAGATTGATATCTAGGTGTGTCACCTGTGTTAGGCTGTGTCCTCCAACCACAATGCTTTGCCTCTCTGTCTGGCAAACAGTCAGCCATGCGGGAATAGACATGCTTGGCTTGAAAGGAGCCAGATACTCCATAGGGTATCACAGTTGGTGACGTGAGAACCTTGCTCTAATCCTGTCCGCCCGGGACACTTTGAGTGTGAGAAAAGCACTTCAGAGTCAGCAACGTTTGGTGCTGTGTTTTTAATAGTGGTTATTAGTGAATAATCCAAATTACTCTTCACCGAGAACCTATCATGTGTTGTGGGTTATACAGAATATTTTATCTATTTTTAAAAAATGTTTTGAAACAGAGTTCCACTCTGTGGCCCATGCTAGCCACGAACCCTTAATCCTCCTGCCTCAGATTCCAGAGTGCTTGTGTTATTAGGCGTGTGCCACCATATGTGAGCTCTCTGTTCTTTCCTGCAGCCCTGTGAGGTTGCCAGGAACATAGGTTGGAAAATCAAGAACGTAAAGCTTCCTTCTGCTCAGTGGCACACTGTTAGCAGAATACTACAAAGATGAACTTTGGCCTGAGTGCCTCGCTGGCTTTGAGGAATCTGGCTTTAGTGGAATCTCCTTATTTCATGACAAACTAGCTAACTGAGAGACACGGCCCCAAACAGAAGCAGGAGTGACCTCTTTATTTGGTTCACCCCAAATTAAACAGATGCTCTTCAGGGTTAGGACGGCTATTTCATCGACGTGGGGATTGTAGAGCATTGTGGTGGCAGGAGTGTCCCCTCCTCTGTTATGGTTTGAGCATAAGGGACAGTGGCCCTGCACAGATCAGACTGAACAGCACATCCTAAAAGACACACATGCCCACCCTGCTTTGCAACTGAAGTCTTGCCTCTAGCCCGAAACCAGTTTTTGAGAAGGGCGGTGGCTGCCGGTGGCACTTTGGTGCGACCACAGACAGGTCCAGAGAGAGGAAGGTTTCTCTCCAGATTCTAAGTACACAGGCAGAGTGTGGTCTGGACACTGTCGTACCCTTCCCTTGCGTCCTGGGACTGGTGCTGTCCCAAGTCACCGCCTCTCCCCGTCTTCTCTCAGAGCTGAGGCCCAGGACCTCCCCTAGGGCTTGTGGTAGTCCTTACTGACCAAGAGGTAGGGAAGGGGACTCTGGGGCCTAAGGACGGCACAGGGGTCAGGAGCTCTAGCACAATAGTTTTAATTCCGGCTTCCTTACTCTCTTGCCACCTGTCTGTAGGCAACTAGGTTACCCACATTACCAATGAAGTGTCCC